CAGTTATAATTGCTAAGAGAATAGCAAGAATTTCAGCTTTGAAAAAGCATAACTAAAGTTTGATTTGTGCTTGAAATGAGTAAATGGTTGTAGAATTATCAACTTGAACCCAATCTATGTCTATAGAGCATTGAGAGGTACCAAGCTTGATAACAGAACCATCAGTATAAAATGAAATGATAGTTAGATTGTAGTTGAAATTAGCAATGGACTGTAAGCTATTAGTAAATTGATTAGACTGAAAGATGCAAGGTAATTGTTATGAATTGATTATTATTGAAGGAAAAGATGGAATATTTAAAGAATGTCGAATAGCTACAGAGTATGCAATATTAAAAAAGTTAGTATGTAGATTAAGAGTTTTATTAAAATTGATATGGCAGAGTAGTTTTGTAGCCAGATTTGTAGAAATAAAGACAGTGCATTTATCAGTAATTGTATTAGAATTGAGTTGATATCCTGAACATATGGTGGTAGTAGAAGAAGGAGTAGGATATGGATTTGAAAACTGGAACTGGTATGAGCAGTACCAATAAATAATAAGGATAAGGCCTGTAGGGGTATTATGCCTTCTGGCCTTGCCAATAATTATTTGATCATTAAGAATAGTAAATAGTTAGGGTTTGGTGTTAGAAATAAAGAAGCCAGTAATATAAGAGAAATAATTTGTTTGAGGTAAATTAAATTGATCATATAAAGTATATTGGTAAGAATGGTTTGTAGTAATATCTTCAAGAGTAGTAAACCATTGAGGTATAACACCTTTAGAAAGTTTATTAAGTCTAGGAGAAATATGATGCCAATGTAATAAGCATGAATTATTATATATTATAAGTTGATCAAAAAAGAGTAGTTTGTGATATCTAAGTTGTTTTTTGAAGATAGGGTATTTTGAATAGGATGAGAAAAGAGATTCAAGAGAGATAGCTCTATTATTAAGAGTATATGGGATGTTATAAGTTGAATTTGTAGAAAATATTTAGTCAATATGCTTTAGAAGCTGGATGATTTTAAAATTTGTAGTTAAACAGTTGGAATTATCAATAATTGGATTAAAATATAAAAAAATATTGGTAAGAGACCAAAAGTTGTTTTGTAATTGTTGAATTCAAATATGAATTGATGTACCTAATAGGTCAGGGTTATTAAGTTATTTAAGAAGATTAGAGATATGGTGTTGTAGTTGAATGTTCCAGATGTGTTTGATGTTGTAGATTTGGTGATATAAAAGAGAGCTAGAAGGTATTGTATAGCAAAGTTTAGCTTTGAGTTTGACAAGACTGATATTTTGAATAAAGATTTTATTGCAGATAAGCTGGCTAACTACAATGTTTTGGAGAGGATATTCAAGGATAGAAATAATAACTATATTAATAATATAACAGGTATATGAGTCAGTAATACATTTGGTTTTAGCAATTTGAATGAGTTTAGAGGATATAGCAAAAAGCAGGTTTGTTTGCTTAGATTGCCTATTGTCCAAAGTGAACCAACAACCTAAAAATTTAAAAAGTTGTTTAGAAGAGTGAAGTAAAAGAAGGTGATTATTATAAGAAATAGAGATATAGTAAAATGGAGGATTATTAGTAACCAGAATAGATTTTGAGAAATTAACTTAAATGTTAGCCATAGCATAAAATAATTCAGCTATAGATAATATATTAGAGAACTCATTTTGTAATAAAGCAATCCAGAGAGTATTGTTTATATATGCCAAGACAGAGCATTGTTTTTGTAATGAGTTAAATGTTCAGAGTTTAAGGTTAGTAGCCCAAGAGAATTGTAAGGTATAGCCAGGTACTTGTGCATATATATATGATATAAGTAGATCATAATATATGTGCTATAATAAAAGAGTAATGATTTTATCTTGGTCAATGTCATTATGAACTGGGTATAAGAGAATAAGATCAAGGTTAGTAATAACTTGGTTGTGATGATCAGTCAGAAGATCAGAGAGAATATTGATAATAAATAAAGAAAGTGTCAGATGAGAAAGTGAATATTTAAAAAGAGTAAAGTTAACAGAATCATATGCTTTACTCATATCTTGTAAAAATAGCCAAATGTCCTTATGATTGTAAGTAGCATCTTCAATAAAATTATTGAGAATGTGAATAGGAATTGAAGTGCTATTGTTAGGAAGTGCAACATAATTAAAAGATGAAAGGATAGGATTAGAAGAAAATATAATGTTTAGTCTATTTGTAAGAATTTTAGTATAAAGTTTGTGAATGTGTTCAACAAGACTAATGGGTCAAGTGAGGTTAAGATCATTATCAAAGGAGTTGCATTAGAGGATAGGATAGATTCTGCTATATTTCTATTACTTAGGAATTCTGTTTTCAAAAAAGTAATAATTAAAAAGACTAGTAATGACAGAAATACATTTAGAGCTGATATGTTTGAGTATTTCATAACTAATGCTTGTGAAACCATAGGCTTTGTTGTTAGGAAACTAAGAGAGTGTTTAAGAAAGTTCTTTATTTGTAATAAGAAAGTTAAGAGATTGGTACTAGGTTGAATTGATGTGAGACAGTAGAAGATAGTATTGTTATCAAAAGGTATTAAAGAGAGTTTCATCAATAGGTCTAAATACAATTCAGCCATAAAAATGTAATTGGACATGTTGTTTAATGAGTAATAGATCAGTTATAAGCTTATTAGACAGTTTTATATTAGAGAAATGAACAGATTGATAATAATGATTAAAGATGCTATTAATAGCTTGAATAGGGTGTGTTGTAAGAGTAATGTATCTTTTGTTAATAGCTTTATTAATTTGTTATCAAAGTAGAAGAAAGTTTTCAAGGTGATGAGTATGAAAAACTTGTTTTTAGATAGAGTAAACATGTTGAAGTCAAAGTTGAATACAAGATGGGTTGGTGGAGTTAAGTAGTTGAAGATCACATTGAAACTATTTGTTAATTTGAGAGATATTTTAATTGATATTAGAGATATTAGAATGTTGAATAAATTTTTTAATAAGTTTGATAATGTGATCAAGTTTTTTAAATAATAGGTGTAATAGGATACTGTAAAATAAATATTGATGATTGTAACTATGTTTATGAGAAACTTTGTTAGAGATAGTATAGGTAGCAGAATAAATAATAGAGCTTTGAATTTTGTGCCAAGTTGTTTCAATATTTTTATCAGTTTCACTATTAATAGGAATTTTGTGTAATAAGAGTTATTGAAATAAGATATCTGCAAAAGATTCTTAGTTCTTTGTAGATATAGCCTTGTAATTGAAAATACAATAACTAATATCAGTATGTTTATATAAGAATTTGCTAAGCAATATAGGAATGTCCATATGAAAAAAAGGATTAGATGATCACTAGAGGTCAAAGTTTGATTGTTATCAAGACTATAAGAGAGAAGAAATTATATGTTGAATTAATCAGTCCAAATGTAGTCAATATAACTACTACTAGTATTGTTAGACCAGATAGAGTATTTGTTATTGAAATAAACTCTAATATTATACATATTGATATTATGAAGGAAGTTGATAAGTTTATATTTAGAAAAAGAACTTTGAGTATTATCTTATGTATTAAAATCACCAAGAATAATAGGATGAATGTGAAGTTGAGAGGCTTATTGAATCCAGTTAATAACAGTATTTTGAGTTTGATTATGAATAGAAATGTCAGTTGATGACAGGTACACTGAGATAATATAAAGCTTAATATTACTTCTAAAGAAAATATCAAATGCTATAGCACCTCCAAGATAAGTATAAATACTATGAATATGAGGTTTCAAATGATTACGAATCATGATAGCAGTGCCTTCAATAGAAGTAAAAGAGTTGGACCAATAAGAGGTGAAGAAATTATTATTACAAAAGAAAAGATAATAAGAAAAAATATTGAAAAGATAAATATTAAGATCTTAATAAACTTTATAAAAGCAAAAATAATATAATAGTAACAATTTAAAAAAAAATATCTATAATTGCAACTATTAATCTAACTATAACATATTATATAAAACTAGGTTAGCTGTATGTAAAACATAAAAGACTTTAGTAAATTTTTGGTTAAAAATAAAATAGTTCTAAAAGTACTAATATATATTAAAACTTATAATAGACTGTGCTCTAAAGATGTTTTATAATACAAGATGAATTGTATATGCAAAAAGTTTAAATAAGCAAAACCTATAATTGACTTACAAGTATAATATTTAATGCAAAACCTATATAGTAATGTATAAGTAAACTATTTAAATTGGATATTAAAAGTGTAAGTGTGACTAGTTGTAACCTTCTATATAAGGGAACCCTTGAAAGTTTTCATGTTCATATAAATTTGAATAAAAATTGTTTTCTAAAGACAGGAACTTTAGTTGTAAAAAAAAAATAATATATATATTATAAGTATAAAAATAAATTTAATAAACAATATTAAATGATTTTTAATATATTTATGAAAAAATTCAAGAAAATATCAAAAATATTTATAATATTACATCTTTCATTATTCTACCTTGCATTATTTTCAAGCTTAATGCTTCAGATTCTTAGCAAAACCTGTTTTCTAGTTTTAAAAAATTGATTATATAAAGTTGATCATGAAGAATCCTTGATCAACTTTATATTATATTTGACCATCAAAATCCTATTATGACCAATAATAAAAAACAAAAATTTTAAAATACCGTTGAAGAAATTTCGTTGAATATGAATTATTTGGTAACTAACTTGTAATATATTTTTAATTTAGCTTAGAAAATAGGAAGGCAAGACTTAATAAAATTTAGAGTAATTGGACAAAAATAGGGCAAAAAACATTTTAGCGTTCAAATTTGCACTATAGACGGTTTAAGGGATAAGCAGTGCTATACGGTATGTAGTGCGATCGATTTCTCTATATCACGATGCATATTAATTTATATAGTCGGACCTTATATATAAGCACATCTATTTTAAAACCAATTATTGTGAATATATAGAAAAAACTCTATATAAACACAGTCTTCCGATTCGATTAAATTAATAAGGGTGAATCAATAACAGAATAACCTGTAGCAACCCCCCCCTCATTTGTTTCTTTACCCTTAGTTCTCAACAAATGTCCACCTATCTCATTAATCACTACGTCCTCATCCCCGTTATTACTTCCTATGAAGACACCATAAATACCCAGCTCTGAAATCATTTCACCCTGAATGACTTTGCCTTCTCTTATTACAATATTCTTCATCATTGGTGGTTGTATTAAATCCATTAATATATAAGAGGATCGTTCTAATGGAGTTATACGTCTAAGTAATTGAGGAATATCTTTTGTATATATATTGTTTCCTGTTTAATTTTATCAATAGCATAAAAGTATTATCATATGCTAGATATTAGATAATATAAATTAAATGAATTAATAAGTGAAGCACGTAAAAGTCATTGAGTTACCTCCGCCTTCACGTTGTGGTTTCATCACAAATCGCTCAGGATGTTCCAAGGCAAGTTTAGCAGCTGCTTCGCCTTCAGGACTAGAGTCTAGTGGGTACAAACCCGTAAAACATGATCGTAATTTAGTTATGTCTGACGGGTTGGATATATATCTGCAAAAGGTTCGATTGAATAAATATAAAATATTTCGGATATGATGTTTAAACAGTAACTGACAATAAGTAGTATTATAGAAACACAATACTTTTCAAGAACACCAGGAATAGCCAATACTTGTTGTATCTTTTTTGCACCAACAAGTTGATAAGCAACAGTAGGACATTTGATTGCTTTTGAACGCTCAATTAATAGTCTTGCATCCCATTCCTGGATACACATAAAAATTTGTGAATAATTTATATATATATTATTGATGTAGGTACCAGATAAGATTATTATTACCTTTTCAGTTGGATAATCATTGGGACCGTATCCGGATCGAAAATATACAACACAGATTTCTTTATTATCGCTGATTAAATACGAAAAATTAGGAATCACCAAAATTGAATAATCAACTCATTAGTTTTATATTCAGAACTTACATAATTAATGTTTTAGTATCTTTGTCTAATTTTCCATCTCGTTGGATTTCAAAGAGAGTTTTACGAATGAGGTGTATCTTATAACTTTTTTTTAAAAAGAGTATATATACATACATATATAAGAAAGCATCCAAATGACTCATAATTGAAAATAAAATAAGCCTATTAATTACTTGTTCATTAGTATATATTCAATCCATCGTTGATCGAAAGCATTTCGCTCTGCAGGTTGAACAACCATCAACACTGCAGTGCTATAATTGGCAAGGTTTGTTATAATAAATTTTCTTATTATGCTGATTTAAAGGATTACATAAATATATTAAAAATATTACTTTTTAGAGCCATAAAGCTGATGAGCCTTTGCGATACCTCTCGGCAAATTAGTCATTGCCTCATTTGTTGGAAGCGCATCAATTTTAAGTGCTGGTGACACATCAAAATATTTTGTTGACTCCAAAAGATACCTAAAATAACAGGATATTAAGGTAAAGCAAAAATTATTAAATAATATTATTTGCTTTATCTATCTAGACTAGTGTTGTGGACTAAACCAAAACTTTCGCCCTGACGAAATTTATTTCTCAGAAGAAACATTTTGCCGAAACACTAGGCTTAATCATAATAACCATTCATTTGGTACCTGTAACAGTATAACATACTTATGCAATTCACTAGTTAATGTTGATAAACTAGAAAATGAAGATGAAATTGTATTGAATTCAACTTGTTGAATGTGAGCATCTGTAGAATTTGGAGTCATATGTAGAATGTAATCTGATCTATGTAATCCTAAAGAAATTTGCTAAACATAGATATCATAATTAGTACAGAGTCTTGATATTTTTCTAAAAAAAAAAGAAAGTTGAAGTGATGGTTTAGGAATTCTGGTATTCTACCTGTGTAATTCCTTCTTTCCTAACGGTGAGATATATGTTGTAAAGCTTTTGGATGAAATCATCGACATTTATTAATCTACAAATAAATAATTAAGTGGATTCAATTCAATAAAAAACTTCTTAATATAATATTCGACAATGCACACTCACTCTCCAACAACTTTTTCAATAAGTTCATGATCCCTTGATAATTTATGAAATAACAAGTTAAAAATCGGTTGTAGCTCTAATGCTAACTCAAATTCTTTCTTAGGAAACGGTGAGGGAAACAAGGAAATTGGGGCATGGACCACTGTCGAAGAGAAATTAGAATTTGAGCGAATAATTAAGCCATGAGATAATGCCCAATCTATTGCTTGTTCTTTGAGAAATTCGAGAGATGTAGGAGAAATTTCGAGATATCCGATATTTTGCATCTTTTAACGTTAAAGATGCAATACTAACACGATTTTAGTCGTCCTTTTAATAATTTTGTAAAACAATCCGATCTAAACCTTTTATGGTTTTTCAAACTCACGGAATATACTAGAACATAAATTGTTTACAAATCGTTAAAAAAAATAACATCGATTGGTAAGCATTCGCTCTATAAGGAGTTTATAATTATTGAATAGCGACAGTGTTTGCATAAACCCGGTTTATTAAATCAATATCTTTATAACATACATACATTTATACGCATATATAGCTTTATAACGTATGTACAGTACGTTATACGCGTATATAGCTTTATAACGTACGTACATTATACGCACGCACACTCTCGACTCTCACGTTTATATATATTATTAACCGACAATTAATGCGACAGTGCAAAGTTGTGGAATCTTGTGAATTAATTTTGTCGTCAACTGTACACACTTAACTGCTTATACGTACATTGGGTACATTGGGTAGACACGTATTCTGTCACTATAAAATTTAATAACTTTTATATTATATCTACTATTACGGAAATTTTACAAATGATCGGATATTTTGTCCACCATAGTTTTTGTGAAATTCGAATGTTAAATTCGATTCCAAATTTTATAAGAATAGAGAATTATAGTTTAACCTAAAATCGCTATATCAATCCACTACTAAAAGGCCTTCTTTTATTAACAGTCTGGAACAAATGTTTCTTTCAGCTGGCGTAGACATGATGAAACGAAATAAAGGCATTGACTAATACCTTGGGTAGATGATTTTACGGATAACCGATGATTTGAACCGGTCTTTATTCTTGGTCCACAATTAAGGCTGGTCCAAACCGATCCAAATTTATTTTAATACGCTAAATCTGCGTATTGCTAGATAAAACGGAAAATAAGAATTTCCTATTTCATTTTGCGTATGCTAATAGAAGCGGGCTAGGTCCAAACATAAGCATCTGCGGTGGTATAATTATACCAGAATCATACATAAATACGGTTGATTGTATGGGTATATTGAATAACCCAGTTAACACACGGGTTCATATTTAAATTCGGCCACGGACAGACCCATGTTTATTCACTACATACCTATGCAATCACTACAATCTATCATACCGGATAACTAATTTATCTGGCAGGCATGATGTATACACTGACGGAATGCTTTTTCATATTGTACCGCAGGTTTTTATGTCCGAATCTGTCACATGATTTTAATAAAAAGCTATGGTAATAAACGTGAATTGAACATGAATTAATTAAAAGCAAATAATAATAGCGATATTAATAAATAAATAAACTGCGAAAAACGGATATCTAATTTTATAATCCTGAACCAGATAAATTATAAACCTTATTCTGGTCCACGCATCGCTACATGGTCCTAGTCTTCTAAAGTCGAAAAAAAAGAAAATATTTATATACGTATAAGTTGTTTTTTTTTTTTTACGAGAAAGTTTGCCATAAAAGATCTTGTTTATTTTTTGATACGATTCACCTGGTTCAAACTAAGGATTGGAACCGTTTAGCCGTTTAAAAATTACTTCATAGTTCCGGGCAGAATTATGTTGGTCGTGGGCCGGAATGATTTTAATGCCGGTCAAATTAAACGATTAAGACTAGGATAAATTCATAAGTGCACTTCCCTAAGTGCACGGATTATATAAATTTTCTCTAAATGCACGGTATAGTTCGGTCCCAGCTTATGAGAGCTCTATATACATATTTTGCTTTTTATAAATGCACACCCTCTCTAAGTGCACACTTTTTGATTTTTTTTCTACGATCTCGAAAGGGTGCATTTAGAGAGGTCTGACTGTATATAATATAAGCAAAAATGTTCTTCCTACAATTTTATACTAGTTTTAACTTTAATTATATAGTTATGGTTATTTTACTATAAATTGCATCAAGTATATTTTGTACAAAATATAAATTTTTTATTTTAAATTACAAGATTTTTTATTAAATTAATTATTTTTAAATGTTTAAATTGTAGAAAAATCTAAACAGTGCTCTTATGCATTTTGTACTTTCAATAGTAATTTTAAAATATTAAATTCTATTCTTAATACTTCTAACTTTAAATATTAAACTTGTTTAAAAAATCCAACTAATAATTTGAATAAAACTAATAACAAATAGTTTTTATTGATTACATTTTTTAAAAATATAGATTTTTTAAAAAATATATAATTTTTATAAATGACTTAATATATGTAGTAGTTTAGTATTTTAAAAATCTTTTTTTAGAACCTTATCAAAAATAGTATATAAATTGATTTTTTTAAGAATACGTAGATTAACAATTCATCAAGAATAATATTTTTGTCTAAAAAAAACATTAATTCTATTTTTTGATAACTATATAGATGGTTAAAAAATTTTTTATTTAAGTGTTGTTTCTAATAAAGTTTTAAAAACAAATCTTAAGTTTTTTTATATACTTTTATTGTAATAATATAATTATTTTGGAGACCTTTTTAAGAGTAGAATGTATATAAATTATATTTTATATAATTTAGATGATATAATAGTTTTCTTTTTTTAAGATGACTTTTTTGGTTTTTAATTTTTATTAATAACTTTTTTGGTAATATAATTTTATGAACTATTACAAAAAGTGTATACAATTGGTTACATATATAACTTTTTATTTTAACTATTTAAAAAGTCTGTCTGAAGGTTTTTTATTAATTGCTATATCTAACATATTTGCTTAAGTATTTTATTTTAAATTTTCTGAATTTACAACCTGTGTTAATATTACTAAATTATGTTCAGATTATTATTTTAATCTTAAAACTATTTTTTATTTTTGAGATAAACCTCTTGAAGTTTTTTATATCTATTTGTATAGTTTGCTTAGATATTGTTATAGCAGAATCAATATTTGTAATTAAAATTAATTATTAAACTGCTATGTTCTTGTAAAGTTTACTCAAACTCTACTTTACAGCATATTTTTAGTACTTTAGTATATCTTTATCTGTTTTTCAAACTTCTAATTCAGATAGTTTATATAGGATTATGACCAGTTTATTAATATATCAGATTAGTTTAATATCTTTTTTTTTGTTTTATTTTAATAATCTATTTAGTAGTATCTATTACTTAAAAGTTTTTGTCTATTATGATATTTCAATATTAGTATCTGTTTTTAGTAATTTAGTTTTTAGAATAGTAATATTAAAGATCTGTATTACTTCTTTATTTAAATCTTTTCAGATAGATTTTTTGTTTTCTAATTTTAACAAACTTATACAGTTATAAGAACTTATCCAGAGTTTGCATCATCTGATGCCAATTTGTATTTCTTTGTATAACTAGTTACATAAATATTCCATGACCTGTTAGTTATACTAGTATAATTATTATTACAAATATCTTAATCAAATTATTAAAAACAGTTGTTGCAGGGTGTGGGTCCCATAGCTTAATTGTTAAGCTCCCATACCTCCACAGTCAAGGTCAATGGTTCAAGTCTGGCTGAAGGCAAAATCAAAAAGATTTTAGCCTCTGTAACCTATAAGGAGCCAGTAATTGAACACGAAGCTTTGTGGTTAAGTCCAAGTGCAGTACATGATAGAAAAAGGAATTCCCAGAAGGAGACTGACTTTGTAGAAAGCAGGCACTACGGGTGACAGCAGCATCACTGAAGATTCTGTTACACAAAGTATTGTGCATATAAGTCCTCTGGAGATGAGGCAGTACCAACATCTTCACATTCAACTTGGGAAGTAATTGATTAGGAGGGTGATACCAAAGTAACACATATTGGAGTAGTAAGAGAAGTGGTGCATGCATAGAAGGTCTGTGACAAAGGATTAGCCTTATCAAGATTGGAAGCACCTCTGATATTGTGGAATGACTGAAAATAGAAGGTAGCTGTATGTATAGAGAAGTTGCAGCCTGTCCTGTATGTCTAAAGGTACCAAACCAGAGCTCTATTCGCACCTATATAAAAGCCTATAATAAAACAAGTAGAATACACCAACATAAATGCCATACCAATCAAAGTTGAGATACCTAAATTGGAAGTAACCTTTGCAAACAAGCATGGGGCATCTATGGGAATGCAGATTTATACAGGTATCTGTATAGATCAGTGTATACAGAGAGATGCAAACCGGCTTTGGACAGTACAAACACAAAATAAGTCCTTATGTGTTTAAGTAGAAAGGAAACAATAGCCAATAGCTAGAAGAAAATAGGATACCATTTCCGAAACATAGTTCTACTATATTATAAAAGGGAGTATTTAAGGGGCAGATTAAATGCACAATCTGTTTGAATAATGCTAAGACCAAGAAAGATTGCAAACCAGCAATGGTAGCAGGAACCTGGCTTGAGATACATGCTACCAGTATCTGAATTGGGAAAATGGCAGTGACAGCAGAAACCTGGCTTGAGATATGTGCTAGAGAGGCACCTTTTGGGCAAACCAAAGATGGGAGCTCAAAAGGAGCAAACAACTCAGTGGACCAATTTGGGAGTTGTGAAAAATAGGTTGTGAGACATGGGAGGAATATGCAGGTTACCTAATATAATCGGTAGTGAAACAAAAATCC